TTGGGGGGGGGGGGGGGACACCCAAAACTGTCTGATATTTTGTGGTGTAAATGAAAAACTTTGAACGGTCTGCTAATATCCAGTCTGATCTGTTGAACTGAATCCAAAGTCGAGCAACCTCCAGGTAACTGGGTCAGCTGCGCAGAACGCATTGTTGGCCAAGTTCACGAAGTCTTCAAAACGCCTGGGTCAGCTGTGCAGAACGCATTTTTGGCCAAGTTCACGAAAACTTCAGATCTCTTTCTTATCCGAGAGTGACGCATTTTCGGGCGCCAGGGCGTGCTTGTAAGTACCGACGGTTTATTTTGTGTTGTAGCTTTTATAATTAGCCCGATCACGTCAGACTAATTGTTCAATTAGAAACTATTGAGTGGTTGTCCATTAGGGAAATTATTTATACATTAGAGAAATAAAAAAATAAAAAAATGTAAGAAATTGTGAATTCATTAATTTGTAGAAGGGATTAATGAAATGATTATAAAATTTAAAGTGTGAATTTGTAGTAGGAATTAATTAAATGATTATATCAGTTAAAGTAGTGTATTTGTAGTAGGAATTATTGAAATGATTATATCAGTTAAAGTAGTGTATTTGTAGTAGGAATTATTGAAATGATTATATAAATTACAATAGTGCATTATTATTAGGAAATAATAAAATGATTATATAACTACGTTAGTGCATATTTATTAAGAATTAATGAAATGATCATATACATTACATTTGTGCATTTTATTAGGAATTAATGAAATGATTCTCTAATTTACAGTAGTGAATATGACAGTTTATGAAGACATTCAAAGTATCTCGAAACTCAAATAACCCAATATATTTTAATTTACGGCACATGTAATGGCCCTGGTTGAAATTGTAGCGCAAATTTAAAGACAAGGTGAAAAAAAAATAATTTAAAAAAATAAAACTAATTTGAGAACAGGTTCTTTAAAGGTTAGTCTTAGGCGTGCTACTTCCGAAGAAAACCCTCTGCGACCCCATTTTGGCACCACGATCGATGGTTTGGGAACCAGCGCACCAGGTTATCGGGAAATCAGTCAATATTCAGGATTTTATAAGTGTAACTTGCTAAGAGCTGTAATCTCACAGCAATTGCCACAGCAATAGTTACAACAATAGTTACAGCAATAGCAGCAGCAATAGCTACAGCCAGGCGTGTTAAGTAAAACCAAAATTTTGTTTGAAAGCTCTTGGTAGACAAACCTGAAATGTTCCATAACGTATTATAAACTCATGTGAAGAATTATGAAAGTTGACCACTATTGATAAAATCCAAAACTTGCAATCAGGTCACTATGATCCAACTGCGCCATACCCAAATCCACCGTGACCAACCTCATCCATGACCCACCTCCACCCTGACCGCCTCCTCCATGACCCACCTCTCCAATTAAGTGTTGAATGATGCACAGCTAAATTCAGATATGCGCCAAAATTCATCCCTGCTAGCCCCAGTTCCACATGACATACTTTCAACGTAACCAACCTCCACCTTGACTCATTTCCAACCTCGACCCACATTGCCCTTTACCCACCTACACCATACCCAACCTCCACCATGATCAAACCTCTACCATTCCCAAAGTCCAATCATGACAAACCTCGACCCCCTCCCAACCCCACACCACCGTGATCCATTTTCACCTCGTCCCAGTTCCACATGACCCACTCTCAACGTAACTAGCCTCCACCATGACCCACTTCCAGTAGGGCCCATTTCCACCATGGCCCACTTCCAGTAGGACCCATTTCCACCATGGCCCACTTCCAGTAGGACCCATTTCCACCATGACCCACTTCCAGTAGGACCCATTTCCACCATGGCCCACTTCCAGTAGGACCCATTTCCACCATGGCTCACTTCCAGTAGGACCCATTTCCCCCATGGCCCACTTCCAGTAGGACCCATTTCCACCATGGCTCACTTCCAGTAGGACCCATTTCCACCATGGCCCACATCGCTCTTTATCCACCGTACCTTTCCGTGAAAGAACCTAATAACTGCTTTCTGCATATCTTTGTTAAAAACTGTGTGTAGATCTGTTAAATTTTACTTTCTGTGTCATTTCCCCAGCCAGAAAGAAAGAAAAAAAAAATCAACGATTCGTTTAGAACCGGAAATAAACCGCTTTCGCTTTCACCACGTCAATGACGCAAGCGAGATTTCAACATGATCTCCTCAATGTTGGGCAGAATCGTCACTGACCTTGGCAACAGCCTTTTCTTGGTAGCCGTCACCGCGTTACTGTTGCTCTACCTGTGGTTGAGACGCCCGGATCCCCGCTATCCTCCGTGCCCCGCGACGCCCCTGCCCCTATTTGGTCATATGTTTATGATTGAGAAAAATCCGAGAGTGCAGTTAGAGCGTTGGAGAAGAGAGAAAGGAGATTTGTACAGGTAAGTTGTTGGGATAATCTGGTAATTTGAGAAACTTGCGCAGGTAAATTGTGGGTCATATTTAGTCTAGGTAGTTTATTGAACTTCTTCGGGTAATTTGTAAGTCATTTTCAGGAACCTTTTCAGGTAAATTGAGGGTCATGTCCAGGTAAATATTGAAACTTTTACATGTAATTTGTGGGTCATTTTCAGGAGTTACATGAAATTTTCCCAGGTAATTGTGGGTCATATTCAGGTAAAACGTTGAACTTTTCAGCTAATTGTTGCGCCTTGTTAACCTAATTTTAGGGTCTTGTTCAAATAATCCTAATTAATTTGAACATCCTACCACACGTACATGGAGATTATAATGTTCAGTCTAGGCTGATGTTAAGTTCGTAGACAGACAATAGTTCGAATACGTCAACCACGCTCAAGTGAACTTTTGTTTTTAAAGTAGTCAGAGATTTACCGACAAGTAGCTTTAGTAACCATGGTAACTGATGTTTCACAAAATCATTTGTTAATGTTGTTTTCAATATCAACATTTTTTTTTATTACAGTTTTTACATAGGCGGCACCATGGTGGTTGTGTTGAATGGCTACGAGCTGATCAAGGAAGCTTTGGTAACGAATGCCAACATATTCTCTGATCGGCCAAAAATTTATGTTGATCAGGTAACTAGAAAAACGTATCAGTTCTGCACTAGCATAGCACAAAATGAAATGCAACTTGAAATCTTCAAGTATGATTCAAGCCAAAAATGCAAGATTTCTTTAATGTGTTACAGCTATTTGGACAGCAAAAAAAAACGTATGCTAACTTTTGTTTAACAAACACATGTTCTTTAAATTATTTTTTTTCAAACGAGAAAGGCTTGATTTTTTTTCTTGCCAGCTGAGAGGATGACTTAAAAGACAATGGAGACATCGACATAAAATATTGACGAGAATTTCACGGTGTACGCGAGGCCAAACAAAGTTTCACCAAATGGCTGAATGTTGTTCGAAAAAAAGAGGATTTTTAAGTTGAAGCAGAGATTGAACCTGTGCGTTCTTGAAATGAAAAAAAGGCATTGGACCTTTATTGATACCCGAGACCCGAACCTGTTAAAATAATTCTCCATGAATGGTCAACACGTCCCGGGAGTACAGGGGGGCGGCTCATACAAATCCCCCAGACCGATCCAATCCTTCGTTCCGCCACTGGTTCCACCCCTGTTGCCATTAGAACACATTATCAAATAAGGATTTCGCCATGTCCGTTTTGATATAACTTTTAAGTGGGCTTTGCCAGCGCACAAACTCTGTGCGCAAAGACAAAACTAAGCATGAATTAAAATGGACGATATCATCACCCCCTTTCTCTGTCAGAGACCATTTTAATTCCAGCTTCATTCATATCATGTCACCCGGGGCGGTAAATTCATGGTGTCAGCCCCCCCCCCCCCCCCTCCTTCCCCATTGGTTTTTTTTTTTTTTTTTTTTTTTTTTCGTTTTTGTTGCTTTTGCAAGAGTTTCGTTTCGTGCATCTTCTGCCTTTTTAACTCCTTCAAACACTGCTGTTCGCCAGCTAGAACGTTGCTCAGCAATGATCTCGGATTCGTCCATGCCTATGTTTACCTCCCTCGTGCTCCTTTTGCAAACGTCCATTAATCGCAGCCGAGGCCGTCCAATAAGTCTTCTCCCTTCTGCCAGCTCTCCATACAACATCTTCTTTGGAATACGGCCCTCCTCCATTCTCCTTACCTGGCCTAACCAGCGTCGGCGCCTCTTGCTAAGAGGGGAGAATACGCTACACATTTTTTTTCCACGTTCCAAGACCTCCGGTATGATGTATGGTAATAAGGGGGATATACAATCTAACCAGACTGACGAGCGAATTCGCGTGTCTTTGATTGACATGACCTCATCAGACAAATATATACAGTTACATTGATTTGAGGTAAAGGTATCATTGATCATTGCATTATGGGTGCTGGTTTAGTTAATTGGTATGCATGAAATCGTTTACTTTGTGAAAGGCTTCATTTTCCAAATTGTTGTTACATTTCATCTTATAATTTCTTCTACATTTTCTTTTCCAAACTGCTGTTACATTTCATCTAACAATTGTTTTTACATTTCCTCTTACAAAGTATTGTCACTTACACTTCCTCTTTCAAATTTTGCAATTTCATCTTACACATTGTTGTTACATTTCATCTTGGACAGATTTTCAAACACTTGCTGTCGATGAGGACCCATAATTTTTTGGATGATGACATCGAACAAATAGATTTTTAAAAAGCTGGTTAATAAATTAATTAAACAACTCCCTAAAAAAACCAAATTGTTCCTATAAATTTATTATAAAATTTAAAATCGAGCAATGAGGGGGCGGTGGTATGAAAATTCAACAAAACATGAAATACAAGTAACGTACTGTAGAAGAATCCCAAGTAATGCACACTTCCAGGCTGGCAACCGCACATTCTTTTCCACGCAACTAAACTCCCTTAATATTCTAATAACCCGCCGCTTTTATTTCACCAACTACTTCAGAACACACATAAATTACGCACCAAACACGCTTGATCTATATATATATATATATTTATATATAAGTTGTTGGGACATCAGATTATTTAATATAGTTTATGGGCGTGAAGTAAATGTGCATTGACGTTTCATGGGGGAAAGGGGTGTAGCAATAATTGGGATAATTAAATGTGAGTTCCTTGAGTTCATGTTTTGTAAAGTAACTTAAGCAGATGGAAAGTTCATGCATTGCTGCCGCCAATGTTTGGCGAGCTATATAACTAGTATAAATATATTTTTTTTAAAATCTCATTTAGCCCAATTATCGGGAATTTCCCTTCATATTCCCCTTGAAACACATAAAAGAATGATCTTATTTGGGGGAGGGGGTGGGGTTGGGCTGGGGGGTGCTGAAAATGTGATGTGTCTTCATCGGCAACGAGTCTATGGGCCAAGTGTCAGCTCGATAGCTTGGCGTGAAGTGGGTCAATTAGCCATCCCAAGATTTTGTATCGCACCCAGCCAGCCAACACCCCACTAACAAAAGCAAGGTTAATATAAAGCATTCAGTAAAAAATACATTTGGGTAAAAATAATAAAATCTGTTGTCAAACGAATATGTTTTTTAAAATAAATATATTTAAAAATTTGAAACATTTTCCGATTGTTTTATCTATGCCCCCCCCCCCCCCCCCAATTTAGATTGGTTACATGTATGGAAATAGTATGCCTGATCAGGTTATCCTTTTATGAAATTCGGTTAGACCGGGCAGTATGTGCTCTGTAAATATGAATTTTTTTCAATGGGGTGTCACCCCCTGGGATGGTGTCACCCGGTGTGGTGCGCAACCCGTATCCTCCCCCCCCCCCCTTTGCTACGACACTGATTCATATTTTAAACAACATAAATTTTAACACATTTAATCCCACATAAGTCATCAATCTAATGATTGCAATATTTGTTTGCATTTTCGAATATGAGGCTTGAGTTATCGAGTGGCCTTGTGCACGCAGGCAGATAACATTATGCTGTAAAAAGTTTTAAATGACGACTATTAGTTCACTTTATTTTTACATTTTTTTTTTAATATAATTTTTTTTTACTAATTTATTTAATTTTTTTAAATAATTTCTCGGCACTGCTATTTAATACGATTTAACGGGGTTATCGGAAGAGTGGCTAATAAAAAAAAAATATTCCCATTACTTTCGAGAAAGCAATTAAATCGCATTTTAACAGACCTTAAACTATTGAATATTTTTAAAGTTCATGTGCGAATCACAGTACACAGATTTTTTTTCCATTCGCAGAGTCCCCCAAAAATATGGTTTATTCCCCTAAAAATGTAGTTTATTCCCCCCAAATATGGTTTATTCCCCCCAAAAATATGGTTTATTTCCCCGTAAATATGGTTTACTCCTCAAAAATATAGTTTATTCCCCCAAAAATATGGTTTAGTCCCCCATAAATATAGTTTATTCCCCCAAAAATATGGTTTAGTCCCCCAAAATATGGTTTATTCCCCTCAAAATATAGTTTATTCCCCCAAAAATATGGTTTAGTCCCCCAAAAATATGGTTTAGTCCCCCAAAAATATGGTTTAGTCCCCCAAAGTATGGTTTAGTCCCCCAAAATAAGGTTTAGTCCCCCAAAATATGGTTTAGTCCCCCAAAATATGGTTTAGTGCCCCAAAAATATGGTTTATTCCCCCCAAAATATTGTTTAGTTCCCCAAAAAAATGGTTTAGTACCCCAAAAATATGGTTTAGTCCCCCAAAAATATGGTTTATTCAGCCAAAAATATGGTTTAGTCCCCCAAAAATATGG